AGTATTTTGTTTTAATTCATTCCAATAAATTATTTATTTTTAAATCTTCTATTTTCGATATACTCGCGCCCCTCTCATAAGGTTATCGCGCCCCCCAGGGGGGTGCGCCCCACAGTTTGAGAAACACTGCTCTATATACATATCAAATTTCATTGAATCCTGTGCAGTACTTCTAGAAATAATCGACAAAATCTAAAAATATCTTAATTTTGAACAATTGATAGCTTTAAGCTGGGACTTGGATATCTATAACTGAAAAACAATACGTAGTCGTAAAACATCATGAACATCCCAGTGAAGTGGGTGGGTAACAGCTAGTTAATTATAATTTCAATTTTTCTATAGTTCTTTCTTTTTATTTTTTCATTATGGACTGGCCAAGGTCATTTTTCAATTGTTATAAATTAATTTCAAAAGACAAGAAGGAAAGCTTTTTAATTTATTTCAATAGTTTCTCGTGCTCAAAGTACGTTTATTAAAATGATTTTTATTTATTTTTTTGCTACTTTAATTCATGTTTGCATCTTCTTAACTCCCACAAAAGTATTTCATAATTAGCTGGTTTCTGTCTAAGCACCGACTCAATTACGCTTGAGAAGAAGAACCGCAAGTGTCATGTTTCGACTTGCTTAAAAAGCACGAGAAGAATATTTTAAAGTAAAAACCATAAGAACATCTCAATCAAAAATGAAATGTATGCAAATGGAGGTTAAAACAAGTAAATTAATCATGCATTAAAAAAACATTATGGTTCTGATACAGCTTATTTTTTAAGGAGCTTCAGAAGCTGTACTTTGAAATCGACGATTGACTTCTTAAATGGAATTTATAAGTTTTATATTTCTTAAATGGAATACTTTTAGTTAAAAAGTCAAAACTCGCCTTCACTCAAAAATAGGATTGGTTTAATTGAAAATTAAGTTTTATTTTTTTAGCAAAAATCCTAATTACACGTACAATAATTGCTGAAAGTTTATAATGATAAAAAATCCAAACTGATAATTATGAGTGAGTGTTTATTAACTTTGCCCTATGACATTTATATTAAATAAAATAGAATTTATTAAAAAATGTCGAAGTAGGGACCAGTACAATTCTAACGGTATTCTCGAACATCCCTGAGAGAAAGTATTTTGTTAACATAACACTATAAAACGAAACAAGGGCCCTTTGGCAACGGAAATAGTACCCCTCAAGTGACAAGGATGACACCTCCCGAGCGGGCACCCCTCTCTTTAAACAACCACACCCCTCCAACGGGAAAATTTTGAACCAAGATAGACTTGCAGTTCAATAAGCGCATTTTTAGTGAAACTAGAACTCGAAAAAAATGTGATAACAATGTTAAAAAATATATATAGTGTAATAAAAAAAACCTTATCTACACTGTAAAAGATATAAAGTTTTAAAAAATTTAACAGGATAAAAACAAAACCCGTAAAAGAGTGAAAGAAAAACTATCATGCGGCATTCAATTTTAAGAAAAAATACTTGAACTTTTTTAAATACTTTTATTAGATTCGTTGAATGTTGAAAAAAGTAGTTACTACAAATGTGTAATCTGTACAGAGAATAATTATTATTAATTATTTAAAAAACTTTACAACAGAGAAATTCCTATTTCTAAGATATTCTTTCATTTCTGTAAAGTCAATATGTTTTTCTTCCGACTTTTTTACAAATTTCGACTCATTAAATAAGGATGCAATATTTTTTAATCACTCTTTGAATGCTCGCATTGTTGTAAAATGCAGTCAGTAACATTTTCCCATAAATACATCACGCATCTATATTTAGATGCTTCCAATTTGCCCAAGCACATGCACAGATAAAAATAGTAGCATTTTCATACGAATTTCGGAATTCCGAGACAATTCCACCTATATATTCCAAGTTAATTTAACTCCTGAGCTGTCATTCGTATCCGAGCGACATTTCTATATTAAGTTGTTCATTAATTTGTTCGTCGGCAATTTCAAACACACTCATTTTGTATCTGTTACGAAACTGTCCAACTTTCATTTGCGATCCTCCCCGATTTAGAATAATCATTTTGTTGCGAGACATCCTTCACGTTTATATCATCATATTATCTCCTTTACCGTTACTAAACACTTGTCAAATTAAAATAATTTTCGCTTTCGTTTCAAAACTAAACACATAAAATTTAGTTTGGGGATCCAAGACTAGATAATTTGTGTAAAGAATACTTAAAATAGTGTAAATAATTTATATCTGGATGTGTAATACGTTTATATCACCTCTATGTTATATTTATTTTATGCAAAAATTGTAATATTCCCAAGCAATGGTGTCCTTTACGTTGTAATGGCGGTTCAATTAGAACTTGGCGATAGAGCCAAGTTGGCATCATTTTTGGTGACCAAATTCGTGACTTGGGCGATCATGTTGGTGACTTGGCAACCATGGTGGCGAGTTCGTGACGCTATGGATTCTTCTAAACATTAGCAGAGAAATCCAATAATATCACAATCTATGACACAAGCGGATTTTTCTCGAAAGATCCACGAGATCTATAAATAGGGAGTAACTCACAGAAACTGAGTTAGTATTGTTTTGACTAGTGATTAATAGCCTTGCCTTGACCGTTGAAGCGTCGACCAGCGATTACTGATTAATGCGGTTGTTGAGTAGAACGATCGATGCTTGAGAATTATCCATTACATATTTGTATTTTGGACATTGATAGTTGTGTCTGAGCACTGTCGAAGGTGTGAATACCTTCTGAGATTTATTCTGCAAATTTCGCTGTGAATCCTGTATTTCAAGGATTGTTTTTGACAATAAATTTCCTTCGTTCCTGTTGCAAAGGCAGATCCCGTTTTTTAAAATCACCAATCAATGATTTTTAAAGTCATTGGAGCCGTGGTAGCCTAGTGGTCGTACTCACGAAATCATGGCTCGCTTGTCATGAGTTCGAGCCCTCGTATCATTGAAGATGATGCATGGTAAATCTCTCATGACTCGACTTGGCGTGTTGTGGAGTGAATTTGTGAGAGTTATATTGTCTCTCTGCGATTGTGAGAGTTATATTATATAAATCTGCGCGAGTGCTATTGGTTATGGACCTCGTTATTTTGAACTATGGTCTACTGACAAGTAGGACAGCATCTGAGCGCCACTAACTCCCTCTCCTAAATTCCACACCCACTGAATATAGGAAGTTTGAGCCTCGAAATATTTAGCATGCATCGGATCCCTTTACACGACGGTACTTGGCTCGAACTCATGACGATAGCACGAGTTCATGACATTGACTACTAGGCTACCACTATGTAGAACAGAGGTTTCCAAACTTTTTTATCTCATAGACCCCCCCGTGCTTAATTAATTTTGAATTTTTTGCAAATGTATCAACTTAAATCTTTTTGACCACTAGTACTACTACTGCTTTAAAAGAATTAAATTTCTAACAGTAATGAATAATAGTGTTTAAAACTTAAGAAACACATGTTAATCAAATTAAAATTTAATGAATACAAAAAAATAACTGACCAATAAACAAATTTTTATAATAAGAGGTATGAATCTGTGGTTATTAAATAACGAATTTTCAAACATTGTCATCGATCTTGTCAGATTTTAATCCTAAATCTCCTCTGTTATTAGTGTTCAGTTTCTTTTTTTGGTTTTGAGATTCGCATAACCACACGCTGAAATTCCTTCTCGCTAGGAAAAGCAATTAAAAACACTTCCTCAAGATATTCCATAATTCCAGATAAATAACAGGTTTGCCCTTTTAATGCCAAATTATTTGCTAAAATCCATTTCTAAACCTTAAGATCTTCATTAGTGCTTATTACGATCAGTTCCTAATGTAATGCGACATTTTGTTTCAGATCTGGCCATATGAATTCATTGCCTACTGTGGTATTACCATAGTCAAAGCATTTTCAAACCTGGTTTCAAAATCTGAATAAAAGACATTTAAAGGTTGAATGTAGGTTAAAACGTCCTGACAGATTGAGAAAATTCGGGCCTTCCAGTATTACACTTCTTTAGCTTAACTCTGGAAATAAATGGTTCTTGTTTTAATAAAACTGGTACTGTCACCTTATAACTGAAAATTAAACTCATTAAATTTAGTTAGTAAATCTGTAAATTTTCTTTTAAAATTAAAGTCATGGTCTAATTTAATGAGAGCCACGATCACATAGACCTCCCCCCTCCCCATTTACACCTCATCGACCCCCAAATTATATTTTTGTAGACATGGACCTCTTGAAGGTCCTTGGGGTCTATATAGATCACTTTGGGAATCACTGATGTAGAGTAAGAGTTAGAAGAGGGGGAGGGGTCACATCTTAGGTTTTGTCCTCGTCATTTAACTATGATTTAAAATTACGATATACGTCGCCAACAGTCCTCCTGTTGCCTTTAGTCTCTGACATTAATAAACACTCATTCACTTGAAGTCATCGGTGTGTTGGTCATTCATCAGATCATTGATAATAATGAATTCTTTTGGCGCGAAACTTCTTATTGTTGTTTCGGAATATATTAGTTTACTTTATGCACAAAAGAAGCGTTAACTAAATTTCTAATTGAAGTGAAAGAGCTGTGGTAGTTTTTCAACTTAATTAAATAAACTAACATTTTTTCCCTCTGCGAAATATGAGGGTTTTCTTATCATGGTCTACGTATTAAATATTTACTTTTGTTATATTATAATATATATTTTGAACAGTTAAATTTTCTCACAAGTTTATTAATCACTATTTGTAATGTTTTTGATAAAAATAACACGTTTCGCTTTTATTTGTTTCATCCACAAATATATAGAACAAAAGTAAAGAATTGTGGATACGAAATTTATAAATTTTGCTCAATCGCTGCTTTTAAAAATAAGGGTTAAATTATTTAAAAATTATTTATAAAGATAAATAAACAAATGTAGAGAGTAGCTAAACAGTAAAACATTTGTTACTCCAATTGTTGTTTCTTCTATTTCTCTCTTTTTTAAAAAACTGCTTCTGAGCGCTCCTGTGGCCTAATGGATAAGGCAGTGGCTTCCGGAGCCAAAGATTGTGGGTTCGAGTCCCATCAGGAGCAGTTCGTATTTTAGCTCCCCGGGATATTAGTTTACCCCAATTGTGGTACTTAAAATAGTATTATTAAACGCTGAAAAGATAGTTTGAGATTATATAAATAAATTCAATTCAATATTTGAAAGGAAAATTGGCTTCGAGTATTACAAATCTAGATACTTCTGACATTACCAAAGTAAAATATTAAATTGAATGAGTTAACTAAGGCTATATAGAAAATATATTAATTATAAATTAATGTAATGTTCATATTATTACGGGAAAACGACTACAACTTTAATATAAACAATAATTTATTATCAAAATGAAGTATGAAATATTTAAAGAGGTATTAAACACCACAAAGGAGAACGTCTAGATCTTATCGTCTCTCTCGTGCGACTGCGTCATTTCCCGCGTACCCCTTTTGTTGAGCACTACTAGCGGCGCGTAACGTCATTGAGAGGACTGCTCCCCTCAAAGTAAAAGGGGGAGGGATTGAGATGGGGCACATATCCAGCCCTACATTATCCTAACTTTTTAAGATGAAAGTGTGTTCCTAATTAATCTATTGTGTTAAATCTTCGATTAACGGTAGTATTTTTTTAGAATTCTCATTTGATTTATTGATGAATAATACAATTTTTAAAGAACAAAATATACGTTATGATGAAAACTTTGTGAATCTGTTACAAGTGCATCACTAAATTCTAAAAATTTAATAAATCACACATCATCATCATGTCTGGCAAGACAACCTCACGTGGGCCAGCGCCCCCCTTCCTTCTAAGACTCCTCCATAATGACCTCTTATTGACTTTTGTTCTCCAAGTTTTTTTCTTTTATGATCCCAAAGTGGGATTTTACTGAGTCTGGCCATCTCAGCCTTGGTCATACACGCGTGGCCGTGGTAGCCGAGTGGTATAGGTATCGGGTCGTGGCTTGCCTTGTCACGAGTTCGAGCCCAGTTCCACTAAAGACCCGTCGTGTAGGGCAGCGATGCACGTTAAATCTCTCGAGAGCTGAAACGTCCTCCCGTTGGTGTGGTGGGGGAGTTAAGAGAGGGGATACCAGCTCAGGTGTCGTCCATGTCACTTGACCATGGTTCAAAATTTACGTGGTCCGTCGCCAAAAGCCCCCGTGTAGTTGAACATTGTGACGTTATATTCAATCAATCAATTGGTCCTACACGCGTCCGCGAATCCTAGAGACTTTGAACTGCAATACCATTTTAATAACATTATCATCTGGCATTCGAATTATATGGGTATCCAATGCATTCTATTTATTTTTATGTATTTAATGAAGCAAGGTTGCTTATAAATTCTTTATAATTCAAAATTGTATCTTCTCCTCCAGTTATTGTTTTCGTTTGCACCTCCAAGTATACTTGGAAGTATTTTTCTCTCAAAAGATGCCCTTCGATTTTCTTCCAGTTTTGTTTTTGTTTAAGTCTCAGATACATATGTCCTAACTGGTTAAGTAAAAGTTTTGTAAATGAAAGATTTTGTGTTTCTTGAAAGAAATTTCGATTTTATAAACCTCCTCAGTCCATAAAAAAGCCTTCTTTTCCAGGAATAATCATTAAGGATTTCATGAGATATTTTGTTATCAGAGTTATTAATAAATCCTAAGTATGGAGGTAAAACTCTGTTCACTATTTTAATTTAATCCATTTCAAGATAAGAATTTGGAATTTTGTCTTTTGAAAATAGCATACATTTAGAGAGTCTTTTTTTTATAACAAGACACATTTGTGACTTGGATAAATATAATCTCACTCATGTATTTTATAAAATACACACACTTATACTATTCGCCTTTCAACAATAGTCTGTATTTCCATACTTCGGGAAGGTAAGGACAGCCTGTGGGTTGTAGTTAAGAACTCATGGGGCCGACATTGCATGACTTCAAGCCCTTAGTGCCGTTGAATAGCAACCCTGTTAAGAGGCACGTTAAATCAGTGAAGACCTGCGTTTCTCAAACTGTGAGGTGAGCCCCCCCCCCTTGGGAGGCATGACAACTCTACTAGGGGACGCGAACATATTGAAACGTCGAAAACGAAGGATTTAAAAAAAACAATTTACAGAAAGTAAACAAACAAAATACATTCTGACATAATAAAAAACAACATGCACATTTACACTGATATAATACACTTATAAATGTATCACTGCTACACAATGTATTTTATAATTAATTTAACAATACTGAGTTAAGAACAAGTTTAAGAATCATCAGTGACCCCCATAGGATTGTCATATATAAACTAATATACAAAAACTAACTCTCATCTTGATAATGTGTACGGTTTCCCTTAACAGCTGATTAAAATTTACGAGATTCGCTTCTCAGTGCCAACCGTTTTTCAAGTAAGCGCGCATATGTAATGTATTGGGGGGGAATTAAGAAGCAAATAATCTGAAGTCCTTTTATTACATTCCAAAGCTTTCCGAATAAAATTTATGGTTAGTAGTGCATAGCAAAGATCTTACTTTGCACAGGCGTATATATACGTCCAAATAAATTAACGCTTTGGATGAACGAGACGTTTATGTACACCGTTAGTATTTAATAGATTAAAGTCATATTATCACTTTTGCGTCATTGTATAGTACACTGCTGGACAATTGCTAAGGACGGATAACACTATCATCCATAGCAACCACAAAATGAAAGGAAGCAAAATGTGGAAAATTAGAATAAGTGCGGGATATTAGTAAGAAGTATGAGTATGCAAATTTTTTCCCACGTCTGTTCATCACGTGATAGCGTTCATAAGAGCTTTAAAGGTTTTGACGCGTGTGGACAGTTGTTGTTTCAAGTCAAAGTTTTACAAGAAAGATTTAATAGACGAACTTAAAATTTCTGACATGTCTTCCCGACATCACATAGATGATTTTATGCGTGGCCGAATTATTGGAAAGATCGGAGAAGGGCGAAAAATAACAGATGTTGCCAGGGAGTTCGACATCGCTCACAGCGTTGTTTCACGGCTGTGGAAGTCATTTAAAACTACTGGAATGTGTAGTAGACGGCACGGGGGAGGTCGTGTTAGAAGTACGACGCCTGCAGAAGACAGATAAATCGTCCTATCAGCAAAAAGGAACAGGCGCACCACAGCTCAGCAGGTGGCAAATCAGTTTCTTGCTGCCTCAGGTAAGCAGATCTCCCGAAAAACTGTTGCCAGACGTTTGAGGGGAGGAGGACTATACGCACGCAGACCTGTTGTGTGTGTCCCATTGACCAGACAGCACCGTACTGCCCGTTTGCAATGGTGTCGTGAGCATCACAATTGGACTGAACAGGACTGGGCATGCGTACTATTCTCAGATGAGAGTAGGTTCAGTCTGTCATCGGATTGTAGACGCCAACTGATGTGGCGCGAGAGTGGTACTGCTTATCGTCCAGAAAATATCCAGGAAAAGGACCAATATCCGACATGCAGTATCATGGTGTGGGCCGACATCATGATCAGTGGTCGCACGCGTCTACATGTGGTTGCGAATGGGACTATGACGGGCCAACGATACATTGATGAAGTTCTACATCCTCATGTTCGTCTTTTCCGTGGTGCTGTCGGTGATAAATTTGTTTTTATGGACGACAACGCAACATGTCATTGAACACTCGTTGTTCAGGATTGTCTAGACAGCGAGGGTATTCAACGTCTCGTATGGCCAGCACGTTCTCCAGATCTAAACCCCATTGAAAATGTGTGGGATGCTTTGGGGAGGCAAGTGGCTGGTCGAAACTATCCTCCGACAAACAAGAACACCCTCATCTGTGCACTCACAGAGGAATGGGATAAATTGCCTCAATAGTTGCTGGATAATGTTGTGCAAAGTATGGTACGACGTGGGGAACGTTGCATCACACTCCACGGTGGACATATCCCGTACTGATACCTTTCTTTAATGTGCCTGCTGACTTTTAGATGCATTGTTCCATTTCTCCGTACACAGATCAAATGAACATTTTTTTTCTTTCAGATGTTTCACAGCTTTTGTACTTTCCAGAACAATAAATATTCTTTATTCTAATGTCTGAACAGTGTGGCAACTATATTTTATCCTACTAGGCCTCATGTCTCGCTTAATGTTATGCTACGTTGCAATTTGTGATCCGTCCTTAGCAATTGTCCAGCAGTGTAGTATTGAATTCAATACGTTGTTGTTGTATGAGGGGGGTGCGAGGAAAATATGATTGGATATTAGGTCATTTACCGCGGTAATGATGTGGTAGTTTGAAAAGAGGATTCCAGCTCAGGTATCTTCTACGTCACATGACCGTGGCTCAAAATTACGAGGCAAGTCATTAAGAGCCCTCGTGATACCTTATATTCCGACGTTACTAAACTCTCTCACTCGCTCCTTCCCTACTTTTATTTCAGAAGTTAGCAGAAAAGGTGATGACAAAGGAATCGCTCTTGTCACTTGACCATGGTTCAAAATTACATTTGCCGTCACCAATAACCATCGTGTAGGGTCAGAGTCTGACGTAAATTGAAATCAAATCCGTAGAATAGCTTCGTAAGTGAGAGAGTTATCTTAACATCACCTTAAAAAGAAATACGAGGGCTATCAAAGAAGGCCTTCGTAATTTTGAGCCTCGATCAAGTGTAACAAGGGCAATTCTTGAGGTGACACCTTCTCTCCAAACTTCGACAGATTTAGCGTGTACCAACTCCTTCTATACGGCAAGTCTTCAGTGGCGTGAGTAAGTGAATATTAAAGTCGGCTTATTCAGCTACACGCTGGCTCGTAATTTTGAACCATGGCCAAGGGACGAGGACGATACCTGAGCTTCCCTCCATTTCCTAACTTCCCCACCATACCAAAGGGAGGACACTTGAGCTTCGATAAACTTAACGTGCATCAGCCCTTCTACAGGGTGGATCTTCAGTAGCTCAGGCTCGAACTCATGACACATGGATCACGAGTTCTTTATCTTGACCACTAGGCTACCACGGTAACTGATCTTCAGTAGCTCCAGGACTCGAAACTATGACGCGCTGGCCAC